TGTACAACTTTTTAATAATTAAAATTACATTGGAAAGTTTTTATTCTGTTTTAAGTTACTATGTTTCTAATTTGTGTTAGTCCATATGTATACTTATATAAATTAAACAAAATACATTTGACAAATTAGTTACCATTATTAGCATAACTTTATTTATGTCGTGTAATATTTCAATAAAATATATTGTATTTACACAAAGGTTATTAGGGACATATATGATTATACATAATATAATAAAACATCAAATTTATTTTTTCTTTTCCTATTATTATTAATCAGCTAAATTTTTACTATATTTATTATAATAGATGCTATATAACCAATATTTATTAGGGACCCCCTTATCAAATGGTCCCTGTACAAATATACTACATTAACATCGCCAATTTTACATGACTCATATTCATTAGTAATATGTATTTTTTTTATTAAAAAAATAACAGTATATTTATTAAAGATTTAGTTTAAAGTTTAAAAACTTTAAATGTAATTGAGATATTTGTACAGAAACCAAAAAAACATTGTTAGTTGGGTATAAAAACCATTAAATGAATATTTTTTTTTTTTAAAGCTTTTTAAAAATTTATTTATAACATCATGAAATTAGTATAAATTTATTCTGCGAAAAATTCTTAGCTATAATGCAAACATTTCATAATTAACCAATTACCGTATTTATAATTTATAGATTATAAAGTAGGTTAATTTTTTTCTAAATGTGAATTATGATCAAAAATATAATAATTATTATAATAGTGCAATTAACACAATAAAATTATAAAACTTTATATTTTTCATTGTTATGGAATCTTAAAAACGCACTGCTACTTCACCATATCAAGTCGTACCATAATATTAAAGTCTATAAACATCCAAAATTAGAGTTCAGCTTAAAACCACAATTTTTTTTCAATTTTCTAACTGTAAAAATTATTGGGTTTCAAGTTTAATATATTTTTTCTTTTATTGATCTTCGATGAATATTACATATAATAATATACACAATATGTTGATAATATTGTTCTGCATAATATTTACAAACTTTTCTTTTTTAAAATAAAATTAACAAATGGAGAAAGCAGCGAGAGAAATATTGCTTGTACAGAAAATCTATACTACTATGAAATGGGAACTACCTTGCAATTATCTTCCTCGTTCACATAAATGATAAAAATTTTATTCATTTATGTCTATATCTAATAGAGTATCTTATATTTTAATCTTAAGGTTATTTTCTAAATATTTGTGAGTTTTTTTTTTTTTGAACTGTATGCTTAATTAAGACCTATATTCATAATGACCCATAAGATTGTGACAATTTTATATATGTAGATTAATGCAAATATTCGTAACTCAGCTGCGGCTACCTGAACATTTAGTGCATGTTAATTTGTTTTAAAACAAATAAATTATAATATTTTCCTGCTTATAAAAATACTATGTTAACCATTTTAATGCTAACCAATACATTTAATATGTATTAAAAATGTGTTGTTGCGGGGAAGTATTAGTACATGTTAAAATTTGTTTATCCAACAATAAATCACCAAAATAATATTTTTGTTTTCAGTGACATTCATTATTCCAGTAACAAAATAAATAAAAGTTACAATTAAACTTCAATTTGCTATCATTTCAATCTATAATGTTGTTCTAAAATATAATTTATATAGTTATATAAATTTAATTATATTATTATAATAGTAAATTTGATTATTCGAAAATATCATAACTATTTCAACTTAAAAAAACTTGTAATTAAATATTCCTTTTTCATTATTTTTTACCTCATGTATTGTGATTATTTGCTTCAGTATTCCTTTGCTATTTCACTAATGATATTTTTATAAGTAAGACCTACTATATTTATTTTTACCATTTTATTGAAATTCTTATTAAAAGAAATTCGTTAATTATTATTAATCGTTGCTTCATACTATAACAGCTTCTTAATATATTTAACCCTTAACTTATAATGTTAATGTTATTTAATAAGTAGTCGTGTCATATTAACAAGAAAACGATGAGAAAATTTATAAGTTTGTATTAATTTGACTATAATAAGTGTTACTATTATGCTTTTGGATAATGGATTTTTAATATGTTTATTGATATTTTGTATTTATGAAGCTATAAAATTTCAATTAGTTAATATTTTAGAGTATTGAAAACGCTTATTTAATTAATATATTCAAACAAAACTATTCATCTTATTTCACCACAATGATTGTTTTTAAAATTTTGTTCGGATAGATATTTAATGTGCTTACAGGTTTTTCTTTTTATAGGATTAACTGAAATTATAATTTACATTGTTATGTCAATATTTGAGCAAATATAATGGAAAATTTAATTATATCGGTTTGTGGAATCTATAGTCCTTTTTATGGTTGGGCTGTGTGGCAGAGTCGGTAACGCGGCAGTGCTTGACGCGCACTACCTCAGGTTCGAAACTCGGTCACGGGCGGCTTCATTTGTCGTGCGAGATATCAGTTCTGTATTTGGAATTGCCTTTCTACTCCCTAGTGACGGACTAACCACCCATCCCGAAGTATCAATAGTTAGAAAACCTTCCCTCTGAGGGAGGTCGCTATGGCCTTATTTGGCTTAACAAGGCAAAAAAATTGTCCTCTTTATAGCTAGTTGTGCGTATACAGTTGATGTAATTAAAAATAATTATTTTCTCCTTTAAATGAAAAACTTTTTACTAAGAATATTTAACATATTTAATTTTTTATGAAACATTTCTAGTTCCCTAATATGTGTTACTATCATAGTAAATGTATGTTCAAAATAAAATCCTAGGCATTTATCTAAAAAAAATGTATTTACTGTATTTAATCCTACTTCACCTTACATTTTGATAATAAAGTATTAAAATTTAAAAATTGAAATAATTAATAAATAAATATATAATTTTTTTGAATAAAAAAAGTATAAATTTTTAAGTTTATTAAAAGAAAAAAAATTATATAATACAAATTAGGCTTCATTTTGTATGTATAGTTATTAAATAATAATATATAAAATTTGTTTTGTTTTTAGGAAGGTTATGACAAATTTTGAGAGTTAAAATATTTCCAGCTACCCTTTCAAACTCCTTTTGTTACTATTATTCAATTTTGATGATACTTCATTTTTTTAAGGTATCTCATAAAACAACGAAACGATATCTAGAATAGAAAGTCGTTACTTTGTAAATTTACAGAAAAAAATAAAAAATAAATCTTCGAAATAATTTTAAATGAACTTGATTGCTAAAAAAAATAATATTATATCATTATCTACTGTTATCATTATTATCTATTAGCTTAGATCTAAAAAAATCTGCTCATATATGTTGAAACACTTCCTTTTAAAAAAATCTTGAATACGTAACGAATATTGATAGTATTTTAAGCAAATGTTATGTATTTCTTTTAATTTTAATAATTGAAAATTTATTCCATATTTTCTTTATTAGATTCGACCTATATGAGTCGCTATAACTAAATAATTCTAACATACTTTGTATTTTTAATATATTTTTTTTTTGTATACATATGAACATAACATTATCATAGAGCAAATAGATATCTGAAACTTGTATATGTTTTTACCAATATATTTTTGATTTATAACGTCCTAAATAAACAAAGCTTGTACAAAAGAGTAGTCAGATAACGTGCATCAGTTAATGTGGCACACTTTTCCTCCAAATATTATATTAACATATTTTTTATATTTAAAATATTATTTAGTAGTTATAAAAAAAAAAAAAAATGATTAGCCTTACACTAGACAGTATCGGTTAAATTGGCTTTTATAATTTGAAATTAAAACATGTATAATCCGTGATGTAATATTAACTTGTGTTGTCGAACAAAATATTAATGCATATTTGTGTTTTACACAGCAATTACCAATAATATCACTTATCGAAAATTAACGAAAAACAAATAAACTAATGAATGTATGAATTTATGTAGCCCGTCATTATTAATTTGTTTCATGACGAACTACTTGTGACATAATTTTCATACTTTTGCTTTCACTTTATAGTAATAGGAAATGAGACAACACCATATATGATTGGTGTGTTACCTATTAATCATAATTCATTTATACTTTGATTTAGTCCCGAGTATAAACATTAAATTCTTTAGCTCTTTTTGCTGAATTAGATACGTACTGCATTGACAATTGGTATTTATTACCCAACTTCAAACTTTATGTAAATTGTAATCCTTCCTTATATTCTCTTAAAATTTTAAATAAATATTTTATTTTAAACATTTTAATTAAATAAAGAGACTTGCTAGTCTCTTAAAATATGTTCAAAAATTATTTTACCTTTTGTTATTTGATAGCAAAAGGTAAAACAATATCTTTTGTCCGTTTATTTTGCGTCTGATTTATTTAAGTCTGACTAAAATACTGTTTCTTCAATGCAACATAATGAAAAATATTATTAAAAATACTACAGAATACTACGTGTTATTTTCATAGGGCCGCATCAACATAATTACAAAAATAGCAATTGCTGCGATTGCAATTGATTATGTTTGGTAAAATTTTATTACCAATATAAAAATTATGTTTTTTAGAGCGATAGAAGGAAGAGGCAAAATAGCTTATTGGCTTAATGCGGTTTTAAACTTCATTTTACTTTACATTGTAATATATATCGATAATAGTTTTATATTCTAATAAGTATTACAGATTGTGTGACATATTATTTTTCTTTGATTCAGATATAAAAACAATAAAATTTCAACGTTATATTGTCATCAGTTCAGTGAGTGTTAAACATTCATTGTGTTTATATGCCTCTGTTAACATATGTAATAAGCTATTTGATAGTTGATATCTTATTCTAGTTATCAATAATATTAAAATTTGAACTATGTTGTACTAAGTATTATTTTTTGTACAATAATTATCGTACGTGTACAGACTGTATACAATTCCCCCTCTAACAGTTACCAACCTCGTGCATAGTTGACGGCCGACGCTATCCCACAAAAGCATTTCGATCATTCCGTTCCAGCCCGGTGTGGTGCTTGCTGGTAGTGTAATAGTTTTAGCTAAAATTTTAAAACGTGTCGCATCAAATCACCGGGTCAAAGGTCAATTACATTAACTAAGTTCAAATTAAATTCGTTTTGTTGTTATTTTATATTATTTGCCGTTTAATTAAAGTGCCAAATGTTCGAATACCGGAAACATAAGTGATAACATATATTTGTGCAATATTTATTGTTTAAAATATTAAGTAAAGTGGCTGTTCCAAAAGTGGATTACTCAAAAGTTAAATTGAACATAAACATCGATACATGTTTTAGGATGGCGTTAGCCAGGTGAGCTGCTATTAATTGTTGAGTTTATGTGTAAATCAACTCTACGTTATTGACGTAGACAGATCTGTTTTCGACCTGAATTGAATTCGTCAATTTAATACATGATACATTATCGGTTTTAAATATCGTGGTCTTCGTAATTTTGACCTTAGCATTTATTAAGTATTGCAAATGTAGTTGGTTATAATTTATACAATAGCCGTACAGGAACAACACAAACACAATCACAATGATACAATGTCATAGCCAAGGTTGCCCTTGGGACTCCTCCAATATCTATACAATGATCAATCTTTTTTTAAGTAACTTTTACACGTTCCATGATTGACGGATAGGCAAGATAGAACATAAATTTAAAAAAAAAAAAGCAATTTTTTACAACCCTTTAAAAGCTAATTTGTCACTTTATCCAATAATTATTCCTGTGTAAATGTTAATCGGTGTTTAGCCTAACCAGACTATAAATATTTTTAGTTTTTATAACAAATTTTCTTAGGGAAAGCGCAATTAAAAATTGTTTTATTAAAATTGAAGTAAAAAAATCAAAAAACCTACGTATGGATTTCATTGTTTCTAGTTAACATTTTATCTACCTTATTTACACTCATATCAATTCTATTCGTTATAGTTCAAGAAATTGTTCGTTTCTGCGATTTCTAATAGAAAACGATGAAATTATGATAAACGTTCAACATTTTATTTGTAATTTTACAAGGAGAAAAAATATCTAAACAAACCGAGGCCAAACGCTTGCTTTTGCCTAATTTAAATTCTTTGAATACTGAGTCAGATGAATGTAGTACTATTTAATAGTATTGGACATATTATTTTTTCTTTTTAAATTTTACTCGAATAATATCAAAAAAAAGATTAAAATATTATAAATATTTTTCATTTTCACCCATGATAAACTTGAAGTCGACTGAGTCGCAATCATTATCAAGGTTACGTATTGGCCTCTAATTTGCGTCATATCATCGCTAAGTTCTCCTTCCTATAATCACTTAGATTATTTCATATCCATAGTTTATAATACACATTAAATGTATATTAAACGTATTTCAAATTTTGAAATGCGTTTAATATAACTTAAGGTTATGCATTTGAAATTAACAATAAAATAAAATTTTGAAAATAGGCCTTGACCAAAAGTTGTTAATCACCAATATTACTTGTGATCAGTGTAAATTTTTTCCCAAATGGGTTTCTTCGATATGTATATTTTCTTTCTTATGCAAACGAAGTATCAATAAATACGTATTGATAATTAATTATCTATTAATGCTCTAACATAATTTACACAATTAATATTTTTTATCTCTAGGGATTTATCTTATAGTTATTGTTTTGTATGTTATATTATGTTCAGTTTATGGATTAATTATGTGGACTCCGAGGGCCTTCAATCCAGTGGCGCAACTAGTGCTTAAGTGGATAAAGTTATATTTTAGAGCGCCCAAGGCTTTTTTTTGATTTGAATGTTTTTTTATTTGATACTAATGTTATTAATTGAAAATTAATAACTTTTAAAATAATTATAATTTAAAAAGTATAAATTTTAATTTATTTTAAATTTGAAGGGGGCTTCACATAAAATACTTACTCAGAGTCTTCCAAAGGTCAAATTGCACTGCTACTTCCACATGGATTCATGGTTAGGTTTTCATGGATCTCATAGGAGATCATTAATATTATTTTTGTAACTATGTGATATTTTTACTTTTAACTTGTAATTCAACATATGTAAAACATTAATATGACGGAATTGTTTTCCTTAGCCTTGATTTTAAAATAACATACTGAAAACCTCGATAAATCATAGACAACTTACCATTGGAAAAATATGTAAAATAATCGAAAACGTATATATTGAAAGGAAGGGTGTCCACCCTTTTCTCTAATAAAACACGCTTATGCTTAATAGGGTGTTCAGTGTTTAGGTATAATGATATACGATTCATGATTCGATACAACACGAGACAGATGAATAAATTCTGGTTTGTTTTTGTAAAAATAGTTTTTTCATTGTAATATTATAATTTTTCAACTTTTTCGCATCGTATGCGTAATATAGTTGCGTGCTAACGTTTTCGAATGGGAATAGTCGATTTTTAAAATTAAATAAATTAACCAAGTGTTGTGCATATAGGCATCAGATGTGCTAAAAAACACACTAAACAAACGTTAAATAACTGTGCGTGGATCTATTTATCGACTATTGGCGTGTCGTGTACTCGTTCATAGAGAATTACTGAGGTGCGATGAGGTTAAATTTAAATACTGTCTGGAGGCCACTGACAATCGTCATACTTCATATCCAAACGATTGTGTGGTTTGTACGTTTTGTTCCAAACGCAGTGTCACCTGAATTTATTGTGTTTTTACTCATATTTAGCTAGGAAAATTAAATATTTATTTATGAGAAATGTTTCACGAAAAATTTTAATGATATAATTTATAACCATAATAAGTTAATGTTTATGTAAATATATTGAATATGCTTCGTCTTTTTTCATTTGCGAGTGGACAGAGATCTCTCCCGTTGCAGGAAGAATTGCAGCTAACAATGACAACCGGTGTGTCCTAAGTAATGTCATCTTTATACAATATTGACCTGTAACATACACGAAAAATTGTGTTCTATATTCAGATTTTTTATTAAAGCTTTTAATTTCATGTTTCATCTATTAAAAAGGTATTAGAGAAACATATTGTAAATGTAGTAATATAATACGTTACTCTATTCAATGCATGTATATTATGCATTTAAAGTCAGAGTACTATAAGTATGGACATAATATCTTTAACGTACACATTTAATATATACATTTATCGGATGAGTAAACAGATACCAGTGTTTGAATATCAGTTAAATTTCTTTTCAGCTAAATAATACAAGTATAATTTTCTCTACACTGAACATCATACTGAAAGCATACTAATGTGCTGTGATATACAAATTTTGCAGTTAAAATATTTTATGTACTTAGTAATTATTCTAATTTTAAAAAATTCGGCTTAAAAAATCGAAGATATTTCTAAACAAAATCTTTATTTTTTTTAAACTTACTTTGTTTAGTACTTAACGGTATAATGCTAACTCATGAGAATGTATTTAAAGTAGTTGTAAGAGAGTGGCGACCCTTGCTGTGTTTTCTAACGTACTTATTTCTTGTGGTGTTATGGTTTGAATTTCCGTGTATTTCTGATTGATTGTAAAACAGAAAGAAAGGACAAGTTTATGACTAAGCAAACCCTCTTATGATGTTGAACCCTGTTAAACAATGATTCTGAATATAATGAAAAAATCATATGCAGGAGTCTTAATAGCAGTGAAGTAGCCCTTGGGAAGATGGCAATTTAACTAGGAGGTGCTTCTTTTACATACATGTAGTGGGTAAATCTCTTTTTTCTATTAAAGGACTTCTTTCAACACATTTTTTTTACCGATATTTTGATATATATATGCTTTATAACAATTTTTTTAGTATAGTATAATGTAATTTACATTTATACTTCAGCATAATATAGTTGTTTAATGAGCATTGTATAACATAAACCTTGAAATTTAGTACAAGGGAATCGTAAACAAATTAAAAAATGTTTTTAACAACTTTTTTTTAATTGCTAACCATCAAAGTAATGCTTCATTGATAAATTTGTTACTTATAATATAAGTACAGCTATCATATATTATATGATAGCTGTTATAAATTTGTAGTTCCTGTAAAAATGTACATCGTCAATGCGGTTAGGTTCTTCAATCGTGATGAAACCGCCGGGCGGCGACATGCATGTGGCACAAGGATCCGTCCTACTTATAGATCACCGGTTTGTCATCTGCTGCTGTTGCTCATAAGTTTACACCCACACGTTTTATTATTGTATTTTCACCGCTGTGTGTCCTTTTTTTCTTTTGACAACGGATTGTATAGTATTTTATTCTATAAGTTTTTGCTGTATTAGGAAGGGGAGTACTTTTTCATTGTATTATTGTGTACGGTTTTACAATAGTAAGTAACTGGGCTCTAGAGTTTTTACTCACACACGAATGAGATTTACCTGGCCCATTCGTTGTCCCCACGAGTTCTTTTAAATCCACCTTTTGTCCAAAAAATATACATATAAAAATCAGATTCTGCGATTGGGGTTGTTCTAAGGTAAGCCAAAGCAGGTAGTTGCTGTTGGGTAACGTCCTCTATCACGGTATCGAGCATTTTAACATGGTAAACGAATTTATTTTAAGTTGGACAGTCGTGGTGTATACGTTTGTTACAAATTTCAAATCACTTGTGTTGGTTTAGCAAAAATGTATACGTAGGTAGCGATGTTTTCGGTTGTTTAATAATCATTTAATTTTTAGGGTTAAGATAATTAACCCTAAAAATTTTCATCATGAAGTTGCGTAGTTCTCTTGATATAACTAGAGCTTTAAACTCATCCGCCGTTCTCCTCAGGTAAAATCGTCCATATTATTTTATTTTTAATAACCTATGCTACAATTTAAGTGTGTATAAATTCTTTGTTAGTTGTAATTAATTTTTTGAACATCAATTAAATTTTAAATCTAAAAGTTTATTATACATAACTAGTTGGATTTTTATCTGTTCATTACGGAATATTTTATTTTTAATCGTTGCTATTCATAATATTTTTAAAGAATTTCTTTAAATAGATACTTAAATTATCTTTCATAGTAAAACCCTACCAAGGTTTTAAATTGATTGCAATGCAATACGAATTAATAACATTATAAATTGTACTTGGGCAGTCTTATGAACTACTTCAATTGGAAACAGGTGTTTCAGGGTTCTTAGCTGCTAACTCTATTTCCGGAAGGTCGGGCCTTCCTTCCGTTTGTCACCCACATAGTGCGTGTTTCTAATGATATTATTTTTGGCACTAAAATATCACAACGTTTAAGATGCCAAAATTGTGTATAATTTCTTTTGTATTTTTTGGGTAATTGTAACGTATTAAATATTATTGGAAAGTTTTCC